TTCAAAACCCCGTCGTCAGGCTAAGGGAGTTTCAGCAGTTGGTGTGTGCTCTTCCGGGATGAAATAAAAAGTAAAAAAGCCAGTGGCTGGGCTGGTATGCATACAAGACAGGTACTCAGTGAAAATGTAGATTGAGGAGTCAATGGGTGAGAGACAGGCGGAGGGGAGAAGGGGGATGAAAGTGGAGAGATACCTGGGGAGGCAGATGTCAGGCAGGTTATAATGTGTCATACATCCTGGATACTAAAAATCCTGGACTAAATATAGGCATTGGATTTATGACACGTTATAACCTGCCTGACATCTGACTCCCCAGGTATCTCTCCACTATTCATCCCCCTTCTCTCTTCCCCCCCTCTCCCCAGCCTGTCTCTCACCCATTGACTCCTCAGTCTACATCTTCACTGACTACCTGTCTTGTATGCATACCAGCCCAGCCGCTGGCTTCTTTACTTTTCATTCCATCCAAGAAGAGCACACACTAACTGCTGAAACTTCCTTAGCCTGACAAAGGGTTTTTGAACCCAAAAGCTTGCTTAATAACTATTCTCCAACTATTTGGGTTGGTCTAATAAAAGATATCAGATTCACCCAAGGAACCTTGTCTGCCTATGTCTTTAGACCAACACGGCTACAACCTACATGCCAGTAATTTAAACCAGTGTTTCTCAACCAATGTGCTGCAGCACCCTGGGGTGGTATGAGATCTTTTAAGGGTGTTGTGGGATGCTGTTAGGTATGCAAATAGGAACACATGATTCACAGGATAAACCTAGAGATATCAAATAGCAGTCAATAATGTCAAAAACTTTCTGATCCGTTGTGGTGTTTCTGAGTTCTTTGCAGCAGAATTACTTCATTATTTTTCTGTGATAAAAAAGGAGTGAATGCTAAGAGTTAGCATTTTCCAAGGGGTGCATTGTGTCTAACACTAGTTTAAACCCATATGCTGTAGATGGGCTCTTGGTGATAATTATGTAATTCAGAGCAATTTTGGGGAAGCCTGTACAGGGCGGTACCAGGAAGACACTAATCTTGTGTAATTGAAATGTCACAAGATAATTGGTAGTCAGAATGATTGATGCAATACTACGATAGAAATTTCTCTGCTGAGTGGTTTATTTCATAACTTTTAGACTCAAGTAAATATTTATATTGTTACTTTTGAGTATTCCTGAAGTTTGGGGGTTTTTTATTGTAATTCTATTTGTTTTTCCAAATCTGACAAGTAGCAATGGGGTGATTTGAGAATGAAATGGCTACTATACATTTCTCTTCTGTAGGGTCTAAGCAGTGGTGGTTTGGTGGTGGAACTGACCTTACTCCAACTTATTTGAACCAAGAGGATGCTGTTCATTTTCACAAAACTTTGAAAGAAGCTTGTGATAAGCATGGTCCAGAACTGTACCCCAAGTATAAGAAATGGTATGTAAGAGTAAAGGAAATGCTCTTGGATCGCTTGTCTCTCTCGCTTTTGCAAGGTTGGATTACATAAAACATGCTGTGCTAACACTTAATTTTAAATTGATCATTACTTCATCTCAGATGGGTATTGGGGGATTTTTAGTTAAGCATATTCTGGGAATGCTGCAGAACCTCCTTTGGGGCCAAATTCTGCCTCCCAAGTATGTATGAGCATTTCTCTGTATCTGCATTAATTTGACGTGTGATGTTTGCAAAGCACTTTGCAATCTTAATTTATTGATAAGGGAGCTAATGATGTATTTAGCTGCTCTGCTTTCCCAGTTTAATTAATTGCTAGCCTAACTGTTAATAAATAATACAATTGCATAGTATAGCACAAAGTTTACTTTGTAACTAGATGTCAAACATTGTATCTGGACAGCAACTGTAAAGAACACACTTGCCGTCTTACAGTACGAAATGTTCTTTTAAGTTGTTTATGATTATACATGCCAACTAATTTACTGATAACATTACTTTGTGTTCATGTAGTGCCTTGGCCACTACCTTCCAAATGAAAATCTCAATGCTTTTTTACAAATTTTAAATGAATTAAGCTTTGGCCTTTGTTCCCACAGCCTGACCACAAGATCATCCACGTCTCCTGTCTTTGGGTATTTGTATATCAGTGGGGCGAATTTGTAGTGGCTTATATCGGTGATGGTCTATTTACAGAACTCTAGACGTACAGTGAATGATTGAGACATTGTAACACCTTAGAGTGACACTGGATGCCTGTTTTGAGAAATGTGAGGATGTCGCCTACAGAGCATCCTCCCTATATTCAATGCACCTTTTACAGGTTTCTTTTGAGATGCATATTTAGTCTTTTGTCTTCTTTAGCTGTTAGGTCAGTTGAAATGCATATGTAGTTTCCTTGCTTTCACTGGCTTACTAGCTTAACTTTTGCTTTGGCTCTCTTAGCTTGGAAATACACATGTGATGAACAGTGTTAGGACTTTGCCAATAATTTAAACCACTTTTATGATTTTATGGCATGGATCTGGTATTGGATACCACAAGCTCCACTTTCTCAATGCTTAATGGGTTGCAAGCCATTAGCGGAGTTTGATTTTTTTTTTTCTTGTGGCAGTCTTGTTACCACAATCCATCCAAGTCCCAACTATTGTCTTGCATTTTTGTGCAAGAGACACTGTCCAAGCTATCACAGTTTTCATATGCAGCAAGGCCAGAAATGAACGTCTCATAGTTCCAGCCCCAGTACGTTAATTAAAAGTAAGTAGGGCCCTTCTGTTAAAGGGGGAAAGTTGTGGTCCCTTTGTTGGAAGCTGCACTGAGAACTAAACTATATGTCCTTTATAGATAAATGCATTTTAAATGTGTCACTCTTGATGTGAAAGACCTAACTGATTGTGTTCTTCAGTACTAATGTACAGTGAACTGCTTTTCTTTCTGTCTCTTATCTGAAACCAGCTATGGTATCCTACAGGAAGGTTTCCTTTTCTATAAGCTGCTAGCCCTTGTCTGAATGCAGCAGATAAAGAGGGTGTTGTGCATCGGGTGGGAACTAGTTGAGAGAGCTGTTTATCTTCTCTCTTATCTTGAAGGCATGCTCTTTAATACCATTTACTGTGATGTTTTCTGCCTTGAATGTTGTTCATCAGACTTGTTCTCCAACTGAATCTGCAACTGAGGCTTTCCAAAATTTGTTTGCTAATCCTCTCTCCTACTTTGCAATAAAAAAGCTGATCCTCCAAGCGAGACAAGAAACAGGAACTTCTCTATTTCTGTATGCATAGCCCTGTGTTTTGTTTTGATTGTCCAAGAGCAGTCATTAGGTATGAATGCTATATATGAGATATTAGTCCTAAGAGACAGGTAGGATCCTTCCTCACTGTTGGGGAGAGAGGAGAAGGCAAAAGAGGAATTCTTAAACAGTGCCAGTAGATCTAATGCAGATCTTGGTCCAGGACTCCCTCTTATTCAGTTGCAAACTTCTGTTGTCTATTGTCTTGCTTAATCATTGCTTAAGAGGCTTTTAGGTTTTAAGCTTAAAAATAAAGATTCAGTTTCTAAGGAAGAATGAATTTGATCTCTCATCCAGTAAAGGGTATTGATATTTCACATTTATTTTTTTTAATACAAAAAAGTGACCTTTCAGCAAAATGGTAAACGGAGAGGAAAAATTATCTGGGGAGAATGTGAATTAACAAAAAGACTTATGCAGAGAATTCCACAAAAAGGTTCTAGTTTTTTATACAGCTCTCGGAACAAGGGCTGGAACAAACTGTTAGGGTAAAGCCTTAAAGTGTTCCTAACTCCTTGGTATGTAGAGCATGTGGAACCCCTTGAAAACCGATGTCTGCCTTCATAGGCCTGTTACTTCAAAATCTGCTATTGTGCTTGCAGCGCTTACTTTTTTCAAGATAAGCAGTGATATGCTGCATTGTAATGACAGCATTAACTAATCTTTAACATGAAGAAATGTAGTCTAGTCTTGCCGTGGTTTACTGGATTCTTAACCTTCACTGGAGTTAATGGACAAAGAGGGTGTATAGCAACTTGCAGATTTTGGCCCTTTCCCTGTGTTTTAGTAGTGTAGTCTCTTGCCAGTTGCTTGTCTGGAATTTTAGTTTTCTGAGTCTCAACTTAGTTTCCTGGCCTTGACGTTTGATTGCTGCTCTTTTTCAGGTGCGACAACTATTTTTATATCAAACATCGTGGAGAGCGAAGAGGGATTGGTGGCATATTCTTTGATGATCTAGACTCTCCCTCAAAAGAAGAAGTGTTTCAGTTTGTGCAGAGCTGTGCTGAAGCCATTGTGCCCTGTTATATTCCCATTGTGAAGAAACACTGTCATGATTCCTTCAGTCCCGAGGAAAAGTTATGGCAGCAGCTTCGTAGAGGAAGGTAAGAAGGGGATGGACCAAATGACATCCCATTGGGTGGAATGGGAGAAGAGTAGAGTTAAGGTGGTTTTAATCATATAATTTACACTTACCTACAGTTTAAACCATATTGCTTAATGAGTGAAGGTTACAGGTGTTTGGGAAAGCTTCTTGCACAGTGTTCCCCCGCACAAAGTTCTACCAGACCTTGAAGGTCACAATTAAGTTAGCACAACTGCACTGGGGAGTTTTTCAACCTTTGTAAAGGTGTTTAAACAGACTTAGCTTTAAAAGTAGGGTACAATACAAAATGAATTCATTGTAGGGAATAATGGATGCTGACAGATGTGTTAAAAAGCAGTGCTTTACTGGAAGTGGAATTGTGACAGTTTGACCCAGCTCCCCAGTGTCTGTATAGGTCACACATTACAGTAGGGCCTTTTGGTGCTTTTATCTAATAGCTGATTCAATCGGCTATTAGATAAAAGTGCCAAAAAGCCCCACTGAAACGCACGTGAGCGAGCCAGGTCAAACTGACACAATTCCTCTTCTGGGCATGCACTGCACTGTGCTTGGTGTGAAGGTGCACCAAACTGAAAGTAAAGTGCTGGGGTTTTTTTCCACATTTATAAGCAGCCAAAGTACTTTGCCTAGGCATCTCTTACCTAGTCTGAAATCACTGAAACTTTCAAGATTTTGATTCAAAGTTAGTTGTGAGCCCTGAGAGTGATGCTCAGTAGTAGGGTTACCATATTTCCAGTTCCAAAAAAGATGATACCTGTCAGAGGGGACACCTCACTCCCCACCTGCAGCCCTCTGTCTCTGCTGCTGCCCCTCTACCAGTGCCCCTCACTAGACCCACAGTCCCTTGCCCGTGGGCCATGCTGGTGCCTCTCAGTCCCAACCTACAGCCCCTTGGCACTGCCAGTGCCACGCACTCCCAGTCCACAGCCCCCTGTCCCTCCAGTTCCCCTCACTCCCAAGTCACACCCTGCTCCCCCCCGCCCTACTGGAGGGGGCCTCCAGCTGCTCCCATCCAGATTGGGTCGCATCATGGTGACTGTGGCAGCTCTGACTTCTGTGGGTGGTGGCAGAAGTGAGTCTGATCTCGGTGTGGATGGAGGGAGGAGGATGGGAGGCCTGTGGCATCCGCTACTTTGGGCTGGGGCTCCTGCACCACATCAGGTGGCCTGGCTTTCCCTCGCCCCTGCCACCTGGGCCACTGGCCCACAGTGCCACTAGGCCAGCCATGCAGCTCCCACTGCCCCAGAAGGGCACCCTCTGCCCCCTTCCCCCACTGGAAGGGTAGGAGTTTCCTCCTGCCCCTGTGCTGTGCCAGAACCCTAGTGCCTAGATACCATCCCGCAGCATCAGCAGACACCGTCCCCCACCCCAACAGTCCCCAAGCCCTGGCTCTCCAACCCCTGCTCCCCATAGTCTTGCCTACATCCAGCTGCCGAGGCTGCTCCCACCACCCTGCCAGGCTGCATGCTGGCTACATGTGTGTATATGTGCAGACACACATGGTGCCCCCTGTCTCCAGTTGCCCTCCCCCTGCTCCCACCAGTGGAACAGACCAAAATCCTGGACGTTTGTTCAGATTTCAAAAAAACACCTGGACAGAGATTGGAGGATCCAAAAAGAGGGCATGTCCTGGAAAACCCGGACATATGGTAGCCCTTCTCAGTAGTGAAATATTAATTTTAAAAATTCAAAGGAAATTGGTTATTGTAGCAGGCATGACACTTGCATTTGTGTTTTTTAATGCTCTGTAATAAAGGAAGCATAGGGAGGATAGTTCATGAGAAGGCCACCTAGGAGCAGCTAGCACAGTGTTTTGTGTAGATCTGTGGTTCTGAAACTTTTTAGACTTGCAGCACCCCTCCATAACTTTTCTGAATTTAGCAGCACCTCATTTAAAAAATGAATTTATTTAGTGTATTAATAGCTGAAGAAAACCCTTATCTGAAATACTTGAAAGTATTGGTTTAACTATAGACCAGGCTAAAGCTCACTCAGAACAGTCCTCGTGAACTCTCACTGTATTGTTGGACTGCTTTATATGAAACATGTTTATCCAACGTGAGCCTTACAGATGCTGTAACAGTTACAGAGTTGAAGCTTGAACTGTTCTGTCCTCTGAAAATTTTTCATAAGTTTGGTTTCGGATTCAAAGTCTCCTTGGCTACCTGTGTGTATGTGTCCTTTTCTTTTTTTCCTTCCTTTCATTTGCAAATAATGATTCTTTTCAAGTGGAGCTGAAATGTTTTTTCTTTTGTTTCTGTAGTAGCATCACTAGTTGTCAGATGTGCTTTGAGGTTAAATTGTACTTTTGAATCTCTTAATCTCTGACAGAACAGAAGCATTTAATATCTGTGACAAATTCTGGAAGATTATGTGGGGAAATGAGTTTTCTTCAGTTGCAGCCACAGCTATTTTGGACAGCTGATGATTCTTGATTTTCTTGCAGAGCCTTGGGTTAGGCTACCTTCATTTCCTGCATGAAGATAAGAAACGCTTCCTCTCACTGGGGCTATGTGTAATGTGCATGGCTGTTAAGATAGCTACTGTTTTATTGCAGGAGCATTTCTCAGCATGGTAACTACTGAGACAAGACGCTGAAAGAGCTCTGGTGTAACTGCATCAAGGAAAGTCTGACGATAAGAGAACTGGTCTTGTGCAAAATGTTAGTATATGTTTTGCAGGTTGATTACCTACCAATGGAATATGCAGTGTGGTGTTCAGACCGGTGAGGGAGGTGGGCTTTTACTACTGGAGGGCAAGGGCACTGGGTCGCAGTTCCACCTGCCTTGCTCTGTGCTCCTGTTCTGAGGTTCTAGGTAGTTCACAATTCCTCCCAACTGGCTCCATCCCACTGTACTGCTCACTCAGTGAGAATCAGTGGTAGTTGCAATGTTTCCTGGAGTGGGACTGATAATCCTTCTGTGAACTGAAAGACAAGAACAACATATCCTTAGAGTAGACAACAAGGGAGATGTTCTAGAGAAATTCCTTAGAAAAATCCCTCACATAGGTCTTCCCAGCATGAAATTCTTAGTTCAGTGTTGTGGCCCAATTATAGATTGGGTACTTCCTTTCTGACAACAAGTCATAATGGTTTTGACACTATGGATTCTTATTTGAAGTCTTGCTAAAGATAATGCAGTTTTCATCAAACATTTCCCTTAGAAGGTAAATATAGCTTCAAACTGCAACTGGGAAGACTCCTGTTGGGAGGTTAGCTAAGCTGTGGATTGTGCCTATGACGAAGGAGCTGAACTGGTAGTTTGCAGCATTTTTCCAATATGCTTTCAAAGGCAGTTCAGCAAGTATGAGAATAGGTAGAATTTCAGTAATAGTCTTTTTCTGTAAATACCAACTGACATGAGATTTATGTTATTGCTGCTGTTTAGGCCAGTCATTCACAACCAGCATGTCATGGAGCAGCACCCAATATTAGCATTGTTTAGGTGTACAAACATCTGCAAGATTTCACAAGATAAACCCAGCAATTTCAAATAAGAATCCATAGAGTCAAAAGAATTCTGACTGTTGTGAACTTTCTGAGTGATTTTCCACAGAAGAATTGCTCTATTATTTTTTCTGTAGTCCAAGAGTGAGTGAAAGCAAAAAGCTGGCATTTTCTCAAGGGCTGAATCTAAAAAAGTTGCAAACCACCGTTGTAGCCCCTGATCCTGTAAATGATCGAGTGAAAGTGTCCCTGCTAGAATTAGGGCTGTGCTCAGGAACAGGATACTAACTGGATTGGGGTATAAGTGTCAGATGACTGATTTTTTTCTGACTTTCCTCCTGCCCAAATACCTGGGAAGAACAGAGCAGTCCAGAGCAATGTTTCTTAGTTGACTGGTCCACCTCTTTTGATAATTGTCTGCTGCCAGAAGTATAAAAGTTATAAAGAGGTACAAAGTTCTGTGAAGAAGATACTAGATAATACCAAATGCTGATTTGTAAATGTGAGCTTGATTTTAGCCATACTTCCCCTCCTGCAAGTAGCTGCAAGTTTGCAGAAAAGATCACCTTTGATAGCAAGTGTTGTATAGCAGGCCAAACATATGCATTGCTTTATTAGAACCTGATGTAGGTCTTTAATTGATTGCTTTAATACAAGAGTAGGACTGGAAGGCATGACTGCCTGATAATCCTATAATTAGGGACCTACCGAAACCATGATTTTGGGCAGGCTCTGCAAAAAAGGTGCAGGGTCCCTGGCAGGGAACTCACTAAAAATAAAATGTTGGCTCCTTTCAGGGAACCATAAGTCCTTGTGGCCACTGTGGCCCAGCCATGCAGCCTGCCAGGGGAGAAGGGGGCTGCCAGCAGGATGGCTGCTCCCCCTCCCCCATCCCTAGTCACTGGCTGTGAAGGCTGTCTGTCATATGGTCCCACCCCTTGCCACCAATCAGCAATAAGGATGGGCCATATGATGGATACCCCTTGCAGCCAAGCAATGACAAGGCATGAGGTCACTGGGGCCCCTCACCCAATCAGAGGTGGGGAGGTAACGCATTGTGCTCCACCCATGAACATAACTGCCAGGCCTGTGGTCTGCCCATGAAATTGGCCGGCAGCCGCCTCGACATTGGTAGACCCCAGCCTATTTGTGTCTGGACCTAGAGAAGTATTTCAAGAATTCTCATAGATTTCTAGAAGACATGGCTGGGAGATGGTATTAGCTTGCCTTTTGCTCTGTGCCATTTAAAGTTGCTGTTGGATTAATTGATCTTGTCTGTCCTGGCACAGCTGCATCTCTTGTTGATATCAATGAATTCCTTTGTTGATACAAATTATTCTCCAGGTGTGGACAAATTTGCCTTTTAAATGCTTTAAAAGAAGTGGTAGAGCTGCTGATTGAGACTATGTACCAGCCATTACAATGTACCTGTTACATCTACATGCTTCTGTATCAATATGAGCAAGCTAAATCGCCCTCATTGTGACTGTGGATGAAACAAGGTTAATGTTGGAGCAGTTTTGCTAAACTTTTATCTCTGCAGAATTATGTAGCTATAATAGTTGCATCCTTATAGATTGTAAGGGTGTCCTTTAGATGCCAATGTAATTGTTACATCTGTCTCTACCCTCAGTTACTCCAGTTGTTGTTTTGTGATAAGAGAGGCTCCTGTGCACTCCTCTATTCTGGGTCTGTGCTTGGGTCTATCCATCTAGACTAATGGAGGCTAATTCATGCTCTCCTCTGCATCCTCCCTCCTGCTGGTAATAGAATGACTCAGTCTGAAAAGCCATGGCCTAACCAAATGTCTGGCCTCATGGCACCAAGTCCCCTTGTTTTAAAAGGCTCTTGCAATTGCTTGGGTCAGGGTGGGTTGAAGTAAGTTAGGAGGGCTTGCAGTAACTCTTACCCTAGTGACTGTCTTCTTTAGTTCATAGTCTGTTCGATTTACTGGGAACTCTGCCTGCCCTTGTTCTGTGACTAGTGTTTGCAGTGCCAATCTCCTTCCTGTTCCTCACTGGGGACAAGGCCCTGCCTTCGTTTCTTTATGCATGCTGAACAAGGAGAGGCTGGTCCCAAACTGATGCTCTTTATTTTTGTGCCTTGATAGGGCAAGGAGACTGAGCCGGTGGTTGTTCTTTACAGCCCTCTACTACTTGAAGGCATCAGTTGATGTGACAGTAAATTTATTCATTGTGTCTTACCCCCTGCAGGTACGTCGAGTTCAATCTTGTCTATGACAGAGGTACAAAGTTTGGCCTTGCAACGCCAGGATCCAGGATTGAAAGCATTCTTATGTCTCTGCCCCTGACTGCCAGGTGAGGGAAGAGAAAATGTTACATGGAGTGTTAGGCAAGGATGTGTTCCCTTTCCTACTGTTTGGTGTGTTCCAGCTAGCTGCCACTTGAACTTGTATTTGGTGTGTTCCCACACACCAAGATTACAATACCAGGCTGGCCTGCAAGTTCCATTGCTGAGATACCAGCATAATGGTGGGATGGACTGGTTTTGCCCACAGTACACTCCTTCACTGGAAAAAAGTATTTTCCAGTAAAAGGACAAGGTGGAAGTTTCCAACTGCTTTCTCTATTGGGACTTATTTCTGTGTCCCACCTATGGTATAAGGTTTCTTGGTATTTCAGCAATAACTCCTTGTTCAGCAGCCTATTTCACCGTATTTAAAAAGAAAAACAAACTAAGAGTATTTTACTTGCTATGTGGTGCAGAAGCTGAAAGGGGGGTCCTGCTTTCCCACCTGGTGCCTGGAAATGAGTGCTGTGTCTGTGCCATTAAGGCAAGACTGGGAGTGCTGCTGAGAAATAAGTCCCACCCACTAGCACTTGCTTGGCATATACTTAAGCCTGGAAACTAAGCAGCTAGAGAAGGCCCAAACACCAGCCGTCCCAGCACCATAGTTAGGTGCTTTGCCTTGGGAGGGCTCGTGCTGGACACAGTATAGACAAACCTTGAGAAGTTTTAAGGTGCCACTTTTTTCTTTTGTTGCCTGTACTCCAAGCTCTTTTATGTAGATTCTTACATGGTCCTCATCCCCACAGGGTGCCTCATTCTCTCTCTCAAAGCTCAAGCAGTTCTTTGGAAACCTCATAATGTTTGGTCTCATGGATGTTCCTGCCCAGGGTGGGTGGTTTGTGGGAAATGTTTTAATTAAAAACACTTAGTTTTTGTTTGGCACAATAAGTGGGAGGAAGCGATTCCTAAAGCATTTAAAGGCACTTCAATTTGTAAGGAATGGTCATGTGGAAGGGGTGGATAGCTGAAGCTAAAGAGGCTGATTCAATTTAAGTATAAGAATCACTTGGTCCCACCCCTATCTTTCCAACCCTCCCTGGAAGAATAGGAGGAGTAAGGTGTTGTTTGTTTGTTTTTTAATGCCTTATCAAGTTCAGTGTGTGTGTGTGAATACATATTTGAATTTCAGTTGTGTGGCTGTAGCATCCAATCCAGAAAGACTTATTGACTTCTAGTCAATAAGATTGACTAGATTTCAATAAGATTGAAATCTAGTTAGAGGACAGCTTTGGAGAAGTGGTCCCCTGGCCAGCCAGGCTCTAAGGATTGTGTTCCTCTGTTTGCAGGTGGGAATACATGCACTCGCCACCAGAGAATTCCAAGGAAGCTGAGATCCTAGAAGTCCTGCGTAATCCCAAGAACTGGGTACACTGACAAGCACTGTGAAGGGGCCCAGCTGCCTGTGTTCAGCCCCGTGTAAAGGATATGAACTCTCGTCAATCAACCTACTCCAACTACCATTATGTGGCAATGCAACGGCTCCATTTTCATATTCTTATGTGCCTTGAGGGTTGTATGCTTGTTTATCATATTTTACAAGGAGACGAATTGTTTAGAAGCACCAAACTGATGCTCACCCCTTGCTGCTGTTGCCTTCTATAGGCTATGAAACTCTATCTCATATGTTCAGTAACACTCAACATTTTGGCTAAACCCAACATGAAATAAACCACTTAGAAATACTCCCATATGGGATTAACATATTTGCCAATCTTAAAGAGAATTAGGTTTCTTTTTCTTTTCTTTTTTTTTTTCAAGTTATAAGACTTGTTCTCAGGAAATGTTTACAATGTTTTTTAAAAATAATGTTCTGATGCTTCATAATTAAAAGAGTTTCACCTGGTGTGAGTTCAGTCTTTTAAAATCATAGTTTCAAATATTTTGTTACAGGATTTTTCATTAAATTTCTAAGATTAGATACTTGATACATGTGATACCTTTGAATGAATGGTTGACTCAAAACAAGTTGAAACAAGGCCAAAATTGTTAGACAGTGACATGGGTACTGAAATATAGGCCAGAGTCCGTCTTAGTTTTTGCTCCTGTGACCTACTGCCCTGCTTCTTAGCAATCTCCATTCATGTAAGTGGGGATAACTAAGAGCTGAAATAACTACTTCAGGTGACTAGATAAGGCAGAATCTGTGTGTTTGGTTATTTAAGATGAAGTTTTATCTTAAAAGTTGCACCCATTGTAACTAGAGAGGTGATTTTAAACTTTAATCAATTTACTTAACAAAAAATGGTCTATATTGATGACTGTCCATGCAGAAGCTTGCATTAGTTGAACTGACCTAGGTTTCTAGCAGATTTAAGTGACGATGCTATATTGTCTATGCATAGTCCTGATATGGTTTGAGCTTCAGAGATGCTTGGTCTTAAAATATAAAATAATCAGATAAGTCTGATATTCTTTTCTAAGTGTGTCCAAATCCAAAATATTTGCCCTGTATTTTTAGCAGGGCAGTGTTTATAGTTTTTTTTTCTGTTAATTGACTTGTAACATTTGACACTACAATGAATAAGAGCAGTTAGGGCTGCAAACATGTGGACTTTGATTTTCATTAAAAAGAGTTCTGGAAATAATTAAATCATAGGTTTGGTTTGGTACATTAAACCTAACCAGTTCATGTGAATAAGAGGAAAAGAGGTAAATCTACACCTTTATAAACTAACTAAAGTAGATGTATATAGCACAAGCTTTTGTGAACTTAAGCTTCATTAAATGCTGTGAAAGGATGTGAAGAAAGCAGAGTATAAGAAGGAGAGAGAAATTAGAATTCAAGAGATGAGGGAAAGGAGGGCAGTGCTGGGAGAGGCAAACGAAGCAATACATCCATAGGAACAAAGAAGTCACAAAAATGAGCTCAGGTAATGAGATAAGAATCATGGACATGATATGCAATCATTCCAAAACTAACTGGTACAGGCTTCAGGCCTCTTGGCTTTAGCCCACTGATTGTTCTTGCTGAAGACTTCTAAGCCTAGGCCTGCTTGATCTGGCCTAGCTCCTTAGTGCCAGTCTTTCCTCTGGTTTTGCTCAGGTGGCCCCTTGACCCTATCTCAGTGCCTACCTCAACCCCCTTGCATCCCTGATCCAAGCGAGGATGCTTGCACCCTCTGTGCCAACCCACTCTGTGGTCTCTGACCCTGTCTGGGCTGTATTCTAGGTGCCCCTCAGATACCGCTGTGGCCTCCCTATTAGCCAAATTCGATCCTCTAGTTTCAAGCTTAAATTACAACATAAATACTGGTGACTGCTTCACAACTAAAAAAACCTACTCAGTTCTAGGTCTTTGCCTTACTACAGATCACAAGCAGGAATCCTGGTTTTCTCTGATTAAAAAAATCCCCGATTTTCAGTTAAAATCTGTATTTCCTAAATCCATGTTTTTTCCGTGATTTAAATGAAACACCACTAATATATAGATAATATATATTATTACACCCCAGGTCTGGTCCTGGTGTATCCCCCCCGCCACTCTGGGTTCGGCCTTGTTCTACTCCCCTCCCTGGTCTAGCCTGGCTCAATGCCCCTGCCTCACCCTGCCGCTCTGGGCCTGGCAACACTCCTCCCTGCCTCCCTGCTGCTCCAGGTCCAGCCCCGCTGTATCCCTCCCCCCACACCACTCCAGGCCCAGCCCCATTCCACCTCCCTCTGGGTCCACCTGACCCGTGTCCGCAGCCCTCCCTCCCTGACAACTGTTCTGGAGGGCATTGAGGCCAGGCAGCAGCTGGGGGCGCTGCCACCATGATCTGCCACCCTTTGCCTTCAGGCAGGGGGGAAGCCCTCCTGCTCAAGCGGCCAGCACGTGTTCGCCACCACCACAAACTTCCCTGGCAGCAGTGCAAACTTGGGCCCACGCAGCCAATTGGTGCCCTCCCTCTTGAGCGTTACAGACAGACAGACAGACAGACTAAGCCTTTTATTATATTAGAATATATATAGCTCAGTTGCCTCTCTGGTTTAATGAGCCTAGGGAGTTCCTGCCCTGCATTCTCCCAGAGTCCATAACAGACAGCCTCTAGGTATGCTTTCTTGTGGCTGGCTGTTTTAGCCGTTGACCCCTGTGGGCCACTAAAGTCCTGCTCTCCCTTTTATAGCAGCTAGCAGGGTTGGGGCTCCATGTTTCACCATACAATGAAGATGCAATCCATGTACCAGGTAGATCATGTAACTAAGAGCTCAGAATGCTATGGAAAATATGATTTTCTTGGGTAAAGACTGGATAAATCTGATTATAATTAGTGACCTACATAATTCACAGGGGTTGCCCACCAATTTTGCGGTCTGAGTGCAGTGCCAGGTGCCGTTTTCATGCTGGAGTGCAGTGGGCCCCCTCCATACCTCTGATTAGCTGAAAGGCCCCAAAAGTCCTGCCCTTCCCTTGAGACTGACAGTTGGAAGTTTACTTAGCAGCCATCGGTCAATGTCCAAGGAGCGGCAGGACTTCTGGGACCCCTCAGTCAATCAGAGGAGTGGGGGGCCTGCCTCACTCTGCCAAGAAAATCTCACCCTCCCTTCCTCCACTCCTTCCTCCCTGACCGCCCCACCCTGCTTCTGATGCAAAGGCTTTCTGCCTCTGTTTTCAGCTCCCTTCCCACCCTCTTGCCCCAGCTTGCTGGCCATTTTCCAACTTTTACATGCTCCTCATGCTTTTTGGCAAGGACCAGGCTTTTTCACAGAGGACCTACCCAATTTGCAGTTTCTGCAAAAACATGAAATCATGAGTTTGGTGAGTCCCTAATTATAATGTAAAGGCTCATGTTGTGGTATGTGGAGGCTTTTTTTCAAGGCCTGGCTATTAGAAGCAGGGAGACTCTCACCCTGTCTCCACACAAGGAACAGTATGAAATTTGGAACAGTTGAATTATGAAGGTTCAGGAGCCAGGATATAAATTGTAATCCAAAATTCATGATTTATGTCAGTCTCTAGACATTTGGGACCTGCTTGGAGATCATATCTCTCTTTCTCTCAAAAAATGGGATTGTCATTAAGGCATAAAAGGCCAATTACCCAAAAGTTGGTGCTGGAAAGGTAGGAGGTCTGAGCCCCCTAACAAGTGGGAAACACAAATTTCTGTGACACCCTAACAGAGGTGGGCATCTCTGCAAGGATGGTGCTAATTCACTTACCTCATCTCGCTGTGGGGGGGAATGGGGAGGAGAAGACTTAGAAACCTATAGGAGGACTGAAAGTGTTTTCTGAGGTGGTGAGCTTCTTGCAAGAAAGTAGTTGCCATGACTCAGATTTGAACCAAGGTTACTAACCACTATACAATCATGGCTGGTCACTTGGAAGGTATTGGTCAAGCCAGGATTCTAGCTGTGTATGTAGGTGGGAGAAGGGGTCTGAACCTCAGTAAGCTCCAACAACAATCAGTGCAGTGCTCAACACTGCCCCACAGTCTTTTCCTTTTCTCAGCCTTGAACCTGTTGATTTCACCGACCAGAGTGCCACTCAGTAATGCCTGGAGGCATATTACAGCAGTTACTTGATCCAGTCTTTGCTTGCAGCTTCATTACTGACCGTGCAGTGGAATGATAATACTCAGCACAAGTGTCAATTTGATATTCCACAACACAGGATGAGGCAATAATTACTGAAGACTTACCAATAATTTTCTGAAACAATTTTCTGAAGCTCATGATAACCTTTGAATAGTGTTTACAGAGAAACTGCCCAAAAGTCTGGTGCCATGGCTTAGCTGGTTAAAGCGCCTGTCTAGTAAACAGGAGATCCTGGGTTCAAATCCCAGTGGTGCCTTTAACTTATGCTAACAGCTTTATAGTCACTGTAGTAGTGGCTCTCAACTTTTTTAGACCCAAGACCCTACTTGGAAAATGCCAGCTCTTAGCTATCACTCAACAAGGTCAGGGCCACAAGCTTTCCTTCTTTTCCCAGGGACATCCACAGGACAAACACTGTCTGCTAATTCAGGCAAAGACACCTGCCATGTCTGAACCTAGCCTCTCTCAGCACCTCCAAAGGAGACCCACAATAGCTGCCACTTTCTCCTCAGGGATTGCAGCTCCAGAGGAGGAAAAGCACAAGGCACTAGCCACTGGGGCTCTCTCACTTCACTTCCACACTGCTCTGTCTTCTCTTGACATGGGGAGAACTGAAGTGAGAGCACAGATTCCTTGCTGGAGGTGCTGGCTGGAGTTGGTCCCCCTGCAAACAGAGCCTTTGGCAGGTGGCAGGGCAAATAGCTCAAAATGCAGCTGGCATGACTCAGATTTGAGCAGAGGATGCCATAGCCACTACACAGAATAGTAACCATGGTAGATTATGGTTTTATGAGATTGTTAGCATAGGGATGATCCTATCTCAGGTAGGGGGTTGGACTAGATGACCTGTGGAAGTCCCTTCCAGCCCTGTTTCCCTATGGCTATATCATAGCCACCCTCTGCCCAACCTCAGCACTTCAGCCCTCTTCCACTGGCAAGGCCTTTCATTGGGCATCTCATGCTAGGAAAAAGCATGCATCTCACCCAGTTAGTTGGGTCCCTCAAACCAAACCTCTGACATTCTGCCACACAACAAACCTCACCAGTCCAGGCCACAGCTTGCCCTCTCTCTTCCTCCAAAGTCTTCTGCTAAGACAGAAGTTACAGGCCAAGCCATACTGCCCTCTTTGCTATCAAACCTCCCTTCTTAAGGATGAGTTATCTTATTACGTAATATGATGCATTTTTTTCTCTCAGTTTGCTTAAGTGCCGTATCTAACAGTTTTCTTTTTGGGGGGTGGGGGGGTAGAAGTACTACAAATACTGCTCAGCTTATTGATTTATCACCTTGGGATCTTTTCCATTACTTCCTTCAAACAGCTATTTGAATTG